TCACTGTTTTAAAGATGCCAAGTCACTGTTTTAAAGATGCCAAGTCATGGTTTTAAAGACGCCAAGTCATTGTTTGAGACGCCAAGTCCTCATTTTACAAATGCCAAGTTGTTTGAGATACAATGTCATAATTTTAGAGACACCAAGTCGTTTTAGAGACATCAAGTCATTGATTTAGGGTTAGTTAGTTATTTTAGAGAAGCAAAGTCATAATTTGAGAAAGTCGTCATTTTAGAAATGCTGCATCATAGTTCAGAGATACCAAGTTTTTGAGACAGTCATTTAGGGATGCTAACTCATAGGTTTAAGAAGTCATGTCATCATTTTAGAGATGCTAAGGTGTCGTTTTGAGAAGGGAACTTTTTTTTGGTGTCAATTTTAGAAATGCTAAGTCGAGTTTTAAATGCCAAGTCATGGTTTTAAGAAGCCAAGTCAGAAGACAAATTTGTCATTTAAAAAAATATGACTCAGTTCTGATCTTACAACTGCTTTTTTTTATTGGACTCATTGACTTTCTTTATGCAATATGACAGAAAGTCCACGTGCAAATCAGCTGAGTGATATAAATTCATGACATTTCTGCACAAGGAACTTTTCATACTACTTGAAATAATTTTAATGGTAATTTGTTTTAAACCTGCCACCATTACAGGGTTCTTTATGCCATTTGTGTGTAAAACAAGGATCAGAACCGTTTGGTCTTTTAAAGTCGTCTTTTTTTTTTTTAAAGGTTTACAGAATAATAAGCTCCGAAATCCCAACGTGAGCCGAGACACAATTGAGGACAAACAATTTAACTTAAACAAGCTTATTTTTAATGGATCTGCAAAACTGTTTGAATTTCCAAAGAGAACTCGTGTACCTCCCGCCCAGTCACCCAGTGGCAAACGTTACACAAGGTTACAGAAACGTTTCCAACCCAAAGAACTTTGCATGCAGGAAAAAAAAAACAAATAGGAAAAAATAAAATAACTCAAAAATATAATGCAAGATAAACCATACAAATAAAACATCGATAAACAGGACATACTGGATAATGTGGTTCTCTTGGCTGGAGAAGAAATTCAAACGCTGTAGCTTCAGTTCCGCTTCTTCGTTAGGAGCTTGAACTGACAGAATATTAAAGTGTAATTTCATTGGGTAAATGTGGCTCCGCCCACCACACAGCCCCACCCCTCGTCTTCCATATAAGGCACAGGACAAAATCAACCCCCACATAGAAAAGGAGCTAGCCACGCTTCTGTCACCTGGGAACAAAACGAACAGACTCGAGACAAAGCTCAACAAGCGTACAAACGTTCATCCTAAATTTGATTTTTAATTTTCCTTTACGTGGATTTCCTCAGAAAGGGAGCGCTGTGGGTGGGTGGAGTCTGGGAGCGTCTAACCGAGCGAGCTCGGACAAAAACAAAATATTAAAAATATGAGCTAGTCCTTTCACACTTTTTTTTTTTTTCCGTTAGTTTTTTTCTTAACCTTTAAAACAAATGACAAGAAACGTGACTGGATTTCTCTTTTTTTATCAGAAATAAAAGTGATGATAGGATGCAGAATACGGTGCTGCGAAGGAGGAGGGGCGCGGTGGTGGGGCGGGGGGAATCAGACGAGTGAAGTAGTTTATTGTTTTATTCCGATACAGAGACAGAGTGTCAGTGTGAAAACTCATGAGACAGGTTAGAGGGCGAGACAGTTAGCAGTTTAAGAGAGAACGTGTGTGTGTGTGTGTGTGTGCACGTGCGTTAGTGTGGGTGAAACTGAGTTGTTGTTCAGCAGCACTTGCTCTTCCAGCTTGTGACTCCCCCGCCGCTGCTGATGTCGACGTTTTCACTGTTGGGCTCTTTAACGGGCGTCTGTAACACGAAACAAGAAAAGGTTAACAAACGCAGGAAGAATCTTCTGTCCGTTTTTATTTAACCGCATTCAGCCGGCTCGTTAACCTTAAAAACAAAAATACCCTGTGGTACTCGAACCACCGGCGCGACTTCACTCCAGTTTACAAGTCTGGCTGACAAAGAAGCTTAATCGCAGCTTCTGTCGTCTCCCGCCAAATAAAACGAGTTCATCGCCAACAAACCACATCCAAACTAGGAAAACGACGCCAACTACAGAAACTGCCTTTCCTGTGACAATGCAGTGTGGCTGCTCATTGCTGAAGAACAATAGAACAAGAACAAACAGCAGAAGAAAGCAGAAGGAACACATTTGCTGATTTAGGTTTAAAGATGCAGAAATGAGCACAAAAATAGAAAAATAGCTAAATAAAAAGTTTAAATTAGCAAAAAAAAAAATAGCTGAAAAGGCAGAAAGAAGCTTAAACTACCAGAAAGAAGTGGAAGGAGCTGAAATTAGCTAAAAAATAAATGGAATTAGCTGAAAATGCTAAATTTAGCACAGAACAGCTAAAAAGTTGCTGAAATAGCAGAAAACAACTGCAACTAGCAGAAAAAAGCTGAAAGAAGCATAATTCAAAATCAGCCAAAAAAGTTAATTAGGCTGAAAGTAGCAGAAATTACCAAGAAAAACTAGAATTTATCTGAAAACAGCTGAAATTAGCTAAAAAAAAAAGTTAAAAAAAAAACCAGCTGATAAAGCAGAAAGAACAAGTTTGCTGAAAGAAGCAGAAATGAGCACATAAGTGGAAATTATCTGGAAAAAAGATGAAAAATAAAAAAAAAAAAAAAAAAAAACAGCTGAAAAGTATCTAAAAAGCAGAAATAAGCTTAAATTACCAGGAAGTGGAGAAAGCATATTTTTGGCTGAATTAGGCTGAAAAAAGTTGAATGAGTGCAAAAAAATGTGGAATTAGCTGAAAAAGCTTAAATTAGCAACAACAAAAAACAGCTATATAGTAGCTGAAATACCAGTAGTAGAAAAAAAAAAAAAAGAAACTTGCAAAAATAAGCTGAAAGGAGCAAAAATAAGTTAGAAGCACAAAAATGTTGAAGTTAGCAGAAATGGTAAGAAAAGGAGCACAAAACAGCTGAAAAAACAGCTGAAATTTGCAGATTTTTTTAAATTTGCACGAGGAAGCTGAAAGAAGCTGAAACAGAACAAAAGGTTGTAAACAGATCTAAAGATTTGAAGAAGGTAAAATGAGCTCAATTCATTTTCTATGGAGGAAAAAATGGTAGAAAAGGCTAAATATTTCAAAAAAAGCTAAAGCTGCACCAATACCAAGAGTCATAGCAGGATTGTCCTGAAAGAGCTGAACGTTTTGATTTGATTTGTTGAAGTAGCTTGAAAACTGCGGGATGAGAAAGATGCCAAAAAACATGGAAGAGGAATCGAGCGAATGAACATTTACACTATTAGATTTTATAAGCATGCAACAAACAAATCTGTGTTTATGTTGCAATATGAAACTTAAAGAACTACAAAAACTGGTGCGTAGTTCATGACTCCACTTTTCATCCATTTTTCAGCTCTAAATGTGAATATTTCCTGCAGCTTTATTAAAAAAAAAAAAAAACTTTCAGCGGTTTTATTTGCTGCAGCAAAGAAATAAAAAGTGAACATGAGGAAATGAAACTTGAAGGGGAAAAAAAAACTATATTTACTTATCGTTTGCTTAAATAAAATTGTGATCTTAAAACAGATTTTAAAAATTGCTTCAATAACTTTTTTTTTTTTAAAGAATAAAAGTTAATGAATGTTTTGAGGTTTGTATTCAGTGTCTGCGTCGATATAAAATTGTGTTATTCTCCCACACAGTCACCATCTAAGGTGCGATCTTAAGAGGAACTTTGGGTTTCCATCTTTTTTTTTTTAAACGTGAAAGTAAATTTTACACGAGGAATTTTCTATCTTTAGAAAAACATAAGACTGAAAATCTTAGTGTTTTTCAAGTGTAATGTTTTTTTTCCTCCACACTTATCCTGAAGAATTCCTTGTACTTTTTCACAAACGCACAACAAATCTCATACTTGTAAACACGTTGTTTTTTTGACGACAAGAAGAAAACGTGTGTTTTGGGTCATTGAATGCATCATTTAAAGGCCGTGCAGGCAGCAGCCGAGAACACATTAAATTTCAGAAAACAACAAAACACGTGTTTGTGTGGAAACATCCAGCTGCCACAACAAAACACCCGCCATCTTTAGTGCAGAGTCACAGTTTATAAAGAAGGAAAACACAACCTCTGTCTGAATGACACGTTTTGAGTTTAAAATCAATTAGACGTGGCGGCCATCTTGACTCAAGCCAAGTTAATCCAGTACAGATTAACTAACTTAAAATCTGTCCACTGGTTCACGAGATATTTTGAATAACTTGTCATGATAGTGGACAATAAAAACTGATGCAAAACACATCAGGAATTAACGTGTTTTACTGTTGAATTAACTGTACGTTAAGGTTTGATTACATGATCACCCTTTTATGACTTTCAGACACAAAGTCCAACAGGATTCATGGTCTGATCATTTACTTCTGACACTTATCTCAGTCAGAGTCAGAGTCAGAGTTTCTTTATTGTCATTCGCACCTCATGTGGTACATGTGGTGGAGCGAAATTATGTACACAGGGTCCCAGTTACATCCAACAATAAAATGTATAAGAAAAACAGTAATAACATCTAAGATATGAACTAAGAAAAACATCAACTAAATATACACTAAGCACTCATAACATAAAACATTGAACATCAGCACAAACATGAACATGAGTCTGTGAGCAGATGTGCACGCATGAACACATCAACATTGAAACAGATCAGCAGCAACATGATATGGTTTTTCACAGTGATTATTCTAGTTAGAGATTCATGAGTCTAACAGCCTCAGGGTAGAAGCTGTTCCTCAGTCTAGTGGTTCTACACTTAATGCTCCTTAACCGCCTTCCTGAGGGGAGTGGGGCAAAAAGTGTGTGTGCTGGGTGGGTGGGGTCCTTCATGATGCAGGTGGCCCTCTTCCTGCATCTGGAGGTGTAGATGTCTGTGATGGTGGGGAGACTGATTCCAACAGATTTCTGTGCAGCCTTCACCACTCTCTGCAAAGCTTTTCTTTCTGCAGCTGTGCAGCCTCCATGACACACATTGATGCTCGAGCACAGGATGCTCTCCACTGCACACCTGTAGAAGGAGGTGAGGACTGGGCTTCCCAGACCAGCTCGCCTCAGCCGTCTGAGAAAGTAGAGTCTCTGATGAGCTTTCTTGATCAGGCTGGTGGTGTTGTTGCTCCAGCTGAGGTTGTCATTCATGTGTACACCCAAGTACTTGTAGCTGGAGACCACTTCCACCGCAGATCCTCTTATGTTCAGGGGGGTGTAGGTGTTTTTGTTCCTTCTGAAGTCCACAATCATCTCCTTTGTCTTCTTCACATTGATGTGAAGGTTATTCTCTCTGCACCAGCTCTCCAGGTGTTCCACCTCCTGCCTGTAGCTGGACTCATCATTGTTTGTGATGCATCCCACCACCGCTGTATCATCTGCAAACTTTACAATGTGACAGCCTGGATGGGTAGCTGCACAATCATATGTGAGCAGAGTAAAGAGGAGGGGGCTCAACACACATCCCTGAGGAGAGCCAGTGCTGAGGGTTATGGTGGAGGAGGAGAGGTTGTGGATCCTCACTAACTGTGGTCTGTTTGTTAAAAAGTCTAGTACCCAGTTGCAAATGGAGGGGCTTAGTCCTAGTGTGGATAGTTTGTCCATCAGGGTTTGGGGGATCATGGTGTTGAAGGCGGATGTGAAGTCCACAAAGAGCATACGGACGTAAGAGTTTTTCTGCTCCAGGTGGTTGAGTGCAGTGTGGACCACAGAGGAGATTGCATCCTCTGTTGATCGGTTCTCACGGTATGCGTACTGATGAGGGTCCTCGTTGATGTTGATGGTTGTTTTGATGTGAGTCATGACCAGTTTTTCGAAGCATTTAGCGACTATCGGGGTGAGGGCCACTGGCCGATAGTCATTCAGACCAGTCACTGTAGAGCTTTTTGGGACTGGGATGATGGTGGCAGTCTTCAGGCAGGTGGGAACTGTCTCCAGGGTAAGTGAGGTGTTAAAGATGTCTGCCAGCACCTCACAGAGCTGATCAGCACATTCCTTCAACACTTTTCCGGGGATGTTGTCTGGGCCAGTTGCTTTGTGCGGATTAATCCTCCTGAAGGTACTCCTTACTTCTGCTGAGGTCACGCTGAGATGCTCTTCATCCGGTGGTGAGGTGAGTCTGGTGCTGGGTGGTCTGTTCGGGTCTTCAAAGCGTGCATAGAACTTGTTGAGGGCATCAGGCAGAGATGGGTCTTTGGGACATTGTTCACTCCTTCCTTTATAATCTGTTATGCACTTAATGCCCCTCCACATGCTCCGAGGGGAGCAAGAGGAATGAACAGTTTTCACCGTTACTGCTCATCTGTACAATATCCTGCCCTAAAATGTAAAACAAACTGACTGGACAACTATTTATATAAAAATAATGTAAAAGATTAAAAAGACAACTTTCTTCAGAGTCACTGAAAAGACAAGTTTAACTAAAAGAATTAGAGGAAGAGTTATTTAATCCTGTAAGGAGATTAAAGGACTTGGAATTATGAATTTAATAATTTAAAAGACATTGGAGAAGGAAAAAGAGCAAGTTCAGACTGAGTGCTTTCATTTTACGTTTGATTTTTGCAGCTTTTTAATGGAAAATGTTGAAGTTTTGACGCCTCGTGGAGGAAAAACAAACGTTATCTGGACGATGCTGCACAGCAGACCTTAGTCTTTAATAAATAAAATAGTTTGACCCAGTGAGAAATATCTGGAACAACTCGTTTGGTCTGGTGTTTAGTTAAAAATCACAAGAATATATGTATTTACTTTACCTAAAGAATAAATGTGATACTTGTGTTGAATACTGTAAATGATAAATTATACAGGTCACATGATCCTTAAACTAAGATGCAACAGACAGTCTTCATTCCTTCTTTCTTGTATAAACAATTTAATTAATTCTGAGTTCATTTTCCTGTAATGTATTCATAAAAAACAAACTAAATGAGCTTGAAGATATAAGCTCAAATCTGCCGCTTGGGTCTGACCATCAACATAATCCATCGTCCCAATCCGCTGATGAACAAACCTTTCTGAGGATGTCTTCTGCTAACGTGAGGAAAGCCTTTTCGATGTTGATGTTGGCCTTAGCACTCGTCTCAAAAAACCTAATGCCGTGCTCCCTCGCGATCTGCAGACGAGAAACAAACCGAGTTAGAACCCGTGGACGTGGCCTGAAGAAGGTCCAGTCCAAAAATAAAGCTGCTGATCTTCCATGCGGGACAGAGATCAAGTGTCCCCCGTGAGCTGGATGGAAACCATTTTCATCAAGTAGGTTTATCTGCGAAGCGACAGACGTCTGATGCGGACCTGACGGCGTCGCAGCATGTTTGTTTTGGCAACATAAAATAAAAAACAGCTAAAATGAGTGTTTTCTTGAAAATCATAAACAGCACATGGCGTAGGCGGAAAACTGAGACTTAACTTCTTTTGGGGATGAAAAGTTTTAACGTGCTTTTATTAAACCAAACGACAAAACTCACAAAGTGTCCAAGACCTCAGGGTGAACAGGTTTGAATGTACATGAGAGCGGCCCATCTCACCTGCTCTCCCTTGGCTTTTGGTACCACCCTCTTGTCCTCCATGTCACACTTGTTGCCTAGCAGCATTCTCTCAACGTCCTCGTTTGCGTGCTGAAAATAAAAAAAGTGAACTGTTAAATTGTCTGTTAGATTTATCATTAAAAACAAGATACCTGCAAACTCAGAAGAGATGGAAAAGTGACAAACCCAGCGCCTGATTTCATCCGTTATACTTTCCAGTTACTCTGGTTCTTTCTCAAAGTATCCTGTACACCACCATCAGCTGCACTTTTCAAATATCGGTGTATGTCACAGCTACATTGTTCAAACGTTGTCCAACGCCAAGCTAGCCGCACGCATTACAGACGCGCTAGCTAAAACCTCGAAAGAGGTAAAAAGTTCAGTTAAGCTTCAGATGAGACTACGGGGACTGCCAGGCAGCGATCCATCGCCCAAATGGACGTTCAGCCGCTGCACTCGGAGGACGCGCTCGGCCGACGACAGCTGAGATCCCAAAGCAGACATGTCAGAGCAGGGTCCGTGTCTGAATCATGCAAAAGCAGGGATTTAATGCTCTTTGACGGCCATGAAAAGACAAACACCCCCTCAGCTCTGATCTTCTCTGCCCCTTTTGTTCAGCTGTGCAGGTCCGCCGACCGTTAATAACAAAGCAGTCAAAACTTAATTAAAAATATCCGGGGGGGGGGGGGGGGGGGGGGGGGT